CTACGCTCACACGCTGCTTTCTGCCTTCTTAATACTCTTTCATTATTATTTTTGTTTGTTTGTTTGTTTGCAGTTGAAGAACTGACTGAATGAGACAGAAGATCTCCGGGAAAAGCGTAAGTGAGGAATCAAATCCTGTATTTCAAAAGGCAGCTTAATCCCTCAGGGGTGAACCAAACATTCCTAACACCAGGCTCTGCCTTGCTTCTGCGTATCGGGATTTATTTGCCCACCTCTTGTTTACTGGTTAGGGCCATTTGGCAGAGGCAAAACACCCGTGCCCCTTCTAACCTTATTAATGGCAGTTATCTATAATGGTTTAATATTTTATAAAGATCAGTGGCAGCAAAAAGGCCCTACATGCATTCCAGAGCACGCCCAATGTACACATTTCAGAGGCACGAATCGCAGCTGGTTTACGAGAGCTGGCTCTGCGTGCCAGGAAACTCCGGTGACACGCTGCCGCTGAAACGCCTGCCCTTCCACTGCCAGCTCTGCACCTCCTCCTTTCAATCCAAAAAATGTAAAAGCAGCAAGAAACAGTTACCAAGTTAGGGGTGGGGGGAAAAAAAAAGGAAAATAATGTAATGTTTTATGGAAGAATGGCATCGTTCATAATTTTCCACGTTGTTTTTCCCAAAGCAGCGGTATCTCTGATATGGCAAAAGGTGCTTGGCAGAGGGATGTGGGAGGAGGGCTGATTTCAGGTCGTGCTTAGGGAGTGGTTTTACTGGGATCAGTGTTAGGTTTGCAACCCGTGTGCCTTTTGGCAATTCCTTAGCGTGTCCCAGTGTTTGCATGAGGAAAACGCACTTGGCTGTGAGTTTTTTAAATGGTGTTTCAGCGAGCCTTGTGCTTCAAAGCTGCCAAACCCTCACTGCTGACCCACCCTACGTTTATTCACAGATGGACATTGGTGCCGAGCAGCTCCAACACAGTTTGTAACAGTCCCAGAAACACCGCGGAGACAATGAGAGTTCGTCTCAAAGGGGATGCGATCTGTACCCTCTTCCTGCTGGTAGCGCTTTGCTCTTTACTCTACTCCCAACTGGAACATTTGGTCCCGGTAGGAAACAAGGAGCTGACACAGAAGAAGCCGTCAGGAACACCAAAAGTACCCTCTCACTCCAGAGCACCTTGGAGACCGACGCCGGCAGAGGCAACGGCACCCAGACCCCAAGTAACTCCCACCGTTAGGCAAACGGAAAAGGCCAACAAGGTGCAAACTACAACTCCATCCCCGTTGACTGACTCTGCCTTCAACTTCAAGCACTATCTCCTGAACAAGGATAACAGGAACTTCAATCTCCTCATTAACCAGCCCAGGAAATGCAGGAAAACACCTGGAGGTCCCTTTCTGCTCGTTGCTATCAAATCAGTAGTTGAAGACTTCGACAGACGTGAGATTGTCCGAAAAACTTGGGGCAGGGAGGGTTTGGTGAACGGGGAGCAGATCCAGCGAGTGTTCCTACTGGGAACACCAAAGAATAGGACAGTGTTGGCGACGTGGGAGACTCTGATCCACCAGGAGAGTCAGACATACCGGGACATTTTACTCTGGGACTTCATGGACACTTTCTTCAATTTGACCCTGAAGGAGATCCACTTCCTGAACTGGGCTGCTGAATTCTGCCACAACGTGAAATTTATTTTTAAAGGTGACGCTGATGTTTTTGTCAACGTTGAAAACATTGTTGACTTCCTTGAGCGGCATGACCCCACTGAGGACCTCTTTGTTGGAGACATCATCTACAATGCTCGCCCTATCCGTGTCCAAAAGAGCAAATACTATATCCCAGAGACCATGTATGGGCTAAGCATCTACCCAGCCTACGCAGGAGGAGGAGGGTTTTTGCTGTCCAGCCGCACCATGAGGAAGCTCTCCAGGGCTTGCAGAGAGGTGGAACTCTTCCCCATCGACGATGTCTTTTTGGGCATGTGCTTACAGAGAATTAACCTCAAACCCATTCTGCATGAAGGATTCAAGACCTTTGGCATTGTCAAACCGTCTGCTGCCCCACACCTACAGACATTTGACCCCTGTTTTTACAAAGATCTCATGGTAGTTCACAGTCTGAAAGTTGCTGAGATCTGGCTAATGTGGAACCTGCTCCACAGCCCACGTCTTTCCTGTACCCAGAAGAAGCAAGTGAAGAAGCCTTTCCAATGGAAAAAGAAAGCTCAAATAACACCACCACCACCACAGGCATCACCTCTCAGATAATGCAGGCAGATTGCAGCAGAAACATGTAGCAAACCAGCTGAGAAAGGAAACCTGGAACTGTTGCAACCAAATGAACCAACTTTAGAAGTAGAGTATTTTAGCACATCTTATTTACAATCTGAAGAGAAGATGACAAACTATTGTGGGAATTTGCCAAAATTCCACATTTGCACACGCATACCATGTTGGTCCTTCTCCATTAATGAGTCCAAATAATCGTATCAGTATCTTTAATTTATTATTATTTATTAGAATTATAGCAGAGTTTCGTGGGCCGATGTGTAAAAGCACATTGCAAAATGCAGTCCTTGGAGATTTTTCAGCATTGTTAGAAATGTGAGAAATGAAAGAACATAGAGGGTAAGAGATGACACCAAGGAGCACAGGGATCCATGTTGACTTGTTACCTTGACTCAGACTCATGGAGAAATGACCAAGCTACCCAGTAACTAGGCTAAAGGAAGTCAAGTCACCTTAGTGTACGCGCAAATCAAATCCCCGCTGCCTGGTTGGCTTTCTGTAGACCTCATCAGAAGAGAAGAGCAGAACAACTAACAGCATTGAAATGGGGTCCTACACATTGCAGACAGGGAGGGCTACAAGAAAACAAACCGGAGGCTGAGGCTGGCTTGGCTGGTTGAGCAAAGGGCAGGTAAGTAGATAACTGGGAAGGGCAGACTATCAAAGGGCCTTTAAAGAAAGGACAAGAAGAACTTTGAGTTGATTCCTCTGAGTCTTGATTTTTCATTATTCGTAGCAGCTCCTCAGTTCAAATATCTGCTCCATTGACGCACTCAGGGGACTGGTTTTTGGCACTTCCATGAGCTCAGGCTCTCTACACTATGTTGTCTGGCACACAGTGAAAACTCAAAGTCACCCAACAGTATCTGATCTCTCTCACCATCTAATCCAGATCTTCAGAAGGTTTGCATCTGAAGAGATCCTTCGGCCTTCGTTTGCGAGGGTAAAACCACACAGAGCTGCTGCTTCCGTCACATTTGAGAACTTCTGCAAACCAGAGGAAAACTTGTCAATGGACTGGGCTGGTTTCTATAGACCTCGGTGCTCTTGCCTGGCACACAGTCAACTGCAAAGAGCAGCCAAGACTTTTCATATTGCTGCGGGTGTCATGTGAAGGGAGAAAGTCGTCTTCAGACAAAAGGGCTCCAGAATAAAAGCCTTTCTAAATTTACTGCAAGAAAGCAGAACCACACAGCAATCTTTCTGTTGGGCTTTTCAAGTTTTAGTCAGTTTATAACATCATAAGTATTTTAAGCATCGGACCAGAACACTGGATCACTTAGTTTTTCAAAGAATAGTCAATACTTTGAAGCATTTTGTGTTTGTTTTTTTTTTCCAGCAGCAGTTTACCTTAAAAGAACATCCTTTTCTTGGACACTAAAGAGGAAGTGAATTCCTTTGACTCAAGGTTAAAAAGTTATGACATTCATGGGGCAAAGAGCCTGAATTCACCTCTGATACTGTGTTTGTTAATCCTTTTGCAATTTTTTTTTCCCTCTCAACAAAACTCCTATCCATCAGAGAACCCCAATGTCATCCCTCTCAGGACAGCACATAGACAGAGCTTCACAGGAAACTACCATCAGTCAGAAGTGCCCAGGAAGTTGCTCTCCCTTGAACAGAACCTGTAGCGCAGCTGCCTTTCATATCTGGGTATAATCTTCCTCCCACCCAGCAGCAGTCTGGGCTCAGTACTCGTATTAACTAGTCACAGCATGGAGGAAAGCAAGTTGGTAATATCTGGTAGACTATTACAAGTCTTACACGTTATCATCATCATAAGAGTTCAAGCCTTACAATAATGTCTTTCCAAGAAAAGGTCAGCTATATAAAAATCAAAAGATGGTATGTCGATTTGGGATATTTTCAGGATGTAATCCTGAAATACAAAATGCTTATGTGAGCTTTACAAGGAGCTCTGTAGGGTGTGGAAACGAGCCAGAGCCTCGCTGGTGGGAGAAAGCCAGTCACATCCCTGCCTGCTAACATGTGTGACACTTATATATTTATGAGCTTGTACAGAAATGTATTACCTGTGATTAGTTTACAGTTTGGGAAATTATTTATACCATAATTAAAAGACAGCATGCAGACGTGCCTCTAGTTGTCAGAGTGAGTCTTGTCAAGTAGATCTGCACACACGTCGTAAAACTAACACCACAGGTATTTTTCATGAAGACAGCAACATGAAAAATACATTATTCACTCTTTTGGATAATTTGGTAAATCTTTCCTTATGCTGGACTTAATTTAACGGTAATGACAGAAAAATAAACACAGCTTACCTTATAATCTCCTAAAAGGCAGCTAGTCAGGATCAGCCGTCCTTATTAAGATCTTCCTTTTAAGCTTGGAGATGCACGGAGATTGGCTCCTCCCTCTATAATGTCTTCAGATCTGCAATCTACCCACGATACAGCATTAATGAGTACATTTTGTCCCAGATCAAAGATGTTCAACATCCACCTATGCCAGCACACCCCCTGATAGCTGGCAGAAACAGAACTAGAGCAAACCGTGCACAGAATAGCTCGTTTCTTTTATCTAATGAATACTAAATCGAGTATCTATTAATGAAAGCTGCATCTGCTTTTGTTCTCCAGCCTCTGCTGCATGGCCTGTTTGACCTGGTTTAAAAAGTTTCCATTTGCTTCTGCAGTTGAGCTGGAAGTTCCCAGACCCCGTATGTGAGCACGATGCCCTGGGGAAATGCCGGGGAGCGGTGCTGCACGCCCTGCAGTTTAGTAAATTCTACTTACTGCTACAGCAGGCAAAAAGTCTTTGACTTCACCCAAGCTGGAGACTGCTTCCTAAAAGACAAGGGTCTTTTCAGAAATTCCTAAAATCCTTGGTGTGTATGAGAACTGGCAGGAAGGACCCTCGACCGACCTGATACATCTCAGAAAATCAAACCCATCCATTTCAGAATGACATTCTGAGCAGCTTTTATTAACCAGCTAATTCAACCCACCAGTCAGGGTTTTGCTACAAAGCTTGCTTGGCAGTTTTTTCATGACTAACCCAAGATGAAAAAAGAAAACAGAAAAACATCCTAAGTGGGTTCCACCAGTAGCAAGGAAAGCAAGCAGACTTCCTCGAGACAGACGTAAACATCTGAAGCTAATACAGTACAGTAGGTTTTATTGAATCCCAGGGATCCACACAGTCAAATTTTGTTTCTACTCTACGTAAGTAGCCAGATTTGGTCACTATAACGAGCAGAGCTGGCTTGAACCTCACATTCAGCACCTCTGAATGCATCTCTGAACACATAAACTGGTAGCAAATGCCAAGATCCATCAGTCGGTCAGGCCACTGCTGACTTAGACGTCATAAAAAAGAAAGCCAAAGATGGCTCTGAAGCAATTGAGTGTTAAAATATTGTGCTTCCTGTCTGCAGTTTAATTATTCATCTTTCTACAGCAGGTTCTCGGAAGCAAACCTCAAATGCAAAAATCAAACAGTACAAAATAATCAAACGGCTCAGAGAATCCTCACTAAATATTAGCACTGAGAACATTCCCTGGAGAGGGCTGAAAGACCATCAGATTGGGGGGAAAAAAAACGTCCAAAGCCCAATCTGAAGAACTGCTGAGGCCCGGAGTTGTACCTTTCAGCTGGAGTTGCAGGTCTCAGCAGCCCTGAAAATTAGCCGACCACATCTCCCTAATGAAGCTACTACCTCTAGTGATGTTTGTCAAAACCAGTAAAACTTTAAAATCCAACTTTTCATGACTTTCTAGGCTTATGTTCAGTAAGAAAACCATACTAAGAAATAAGAGAGGAAATGGAACCCCAAAGGACGAGCGCATCTGAGTCCCTCCAAGAGCAGCAAACAGCACTCCCACCACTCCTGACCAGTCCAATGCATTCTCTCCAATTCATCCAAACCCAGCTCATGGATCTTCTCTCTCCTGCTCCCTTTCTCACTCCAGTGCTGAGACCAGGGAAAAACCATAAAACAACACAGGTCCGTGGTGACTGCCTTGTCCCCAGTGGGGCTGACTGAGCTGGAGGGCAATAAAGTTGTGATATTAAGACAAATGCTCTCTACGGCCACAGAAGCAGAAGAAAAGGGTGAAATAATCTTAGTAGCCCCCATAGGTATGGATGCAACAGAGCTATGCAGTGAGGAACAGGGTAAACTGGGGATTTCAGGGCTTCAGTTTTTCTGAGAGACCAGTGGAGGTGAAAAGGGAACACAGTGATTCGGGCGGTTTTGATTACTTAGTTGATTAGACTGCGCACTGCATAATCATGCAGCTGTTTTTAGGTTTTTTTTTTGTGATTGGTATTTAAACTAAATGTCTCTCTGAAGGATATTAATACTGGAATGAAACTTCAGCACTCAGTGGAATACATAGTGTATGTGTGAAACATTAAGGCACCTAAAACCAGCTTTTGAAATTGCAATATGCAGTTCTTTAAAATGACTAAACTACTAAGATTTAAAGGGGAATTAATTAGGGTCTGAAAGAGAAATGGTTATGTTAAATCATTACAGTCTAGTCCCCAACAAAAGTTACTGTTAAAACAGTATCTTACACCACAGTACGTGACCTGCTCTGCAAACTCCAGCTTACCTTTCCCTGCTGTTTCAAGCAGTCAGTGTTCCCAGATCATGAAAAGGAATGATTTTGCCTGCTGGAAAAACACACATCCCCACAAACAAAACGAAAGCCTCGGATATAAGGTTTGGCAGATAAAAACATTTAACCAGTGACTTTATTAGTTACAGCTAAAATTCACATAAGTAGAGAATATGGTGTAAAATTCACATAAGTAGAGAATATGGTGTAAAATTCACATAAGTAGAGAATATGGTGTTTAAGTTGAACCTGAACCCCCCAAGTAATATATACAGTCCCTGCAAAAAAACAAATCCCTTCGAAGCTGCAGTCTTCAGTCGGTGAACTGGTTATACCCCGACTCTGAACAAAGCCCCCTACTTCAGTACCTCCTGGTCCTATTTTAATGCT